CCTTTCCCCCTTTTTTTTTTTTTTTTTTTTTTTTTAAAGATGACCGGTAAGGGGATCTTAACCCTTGACTTGGTGTTGTCAGCACCATGCTCACCCAGTGAGCTAACCGGCCATCCCTATATGGGATCCGAAACCATGGCCTTGGTGTTATCAGCACCGCACTCTCCCTAGTGAGCCACGGGCCGGCCCCAACTTTGCCCCTTTTCATATGTCTGTGTCTTTTCATAAACTTCCTTGTCTGAAATAGAAATTGTCGTGTTGAATTATAGTGTACTGTTTGATACTTGCGTTTATTTTCTTTCCTTTTTAGAGGGGTACGGGCAATCAGCATAATTGGTTGGATCATAATGCGTGGGTTGGTATATTTGAGAAGCACTGTAGTGCAGTGGGAAGTGTGTGGGATGAGGATATAAGGCTATAAGCTTTAGTCTCAGTTTGTGACCCCTGTGGGCAAATCTCTTGAAATCTCTGACACTTTGGAGAGGGATCACATTTTATTAATATCTTAAGTTATTTGATTCTGATTATTACAGCTTTTAAACAAACTATTTGATAGAAATATTAAAATTTAAGCCAAATTCACTTTCTTCGTTGAAGTTTTTCCAGTTAAACAATACATATGTGGGTTTAAACAAATTGGCGTTTCCTTAGACTAACACAAATTCTCTTAGAGAACAGGACACAAATTATAAATAAGTAAAAGTGAAGACCCATTGAACACTCTGAATATATTTTAAATTTTCCTGCAGGAAAGAGCCATAGATTATAACTTTTTATCTATAAAGATGACTTCAATCATACTTTATTTAATTTTCTGCATATTTTAAGCAAGGTTACATTTTGTCTTATAATATCTACTTAATTTGTATTTGAAGTGTCTTAAATAATTGATGATCAGATATTTAGGATAAAGGGTAAGTCTTTTATGGAAAGCACTGTAGGGTTAGGGAATAAACTAATGTTTATTGAGTGGCTACTCTATGCCAAGACTGTACTACAACTTTATACATTATCTCATTTAATCCACACAATACTTGACAACATTTGTTCATTCATTCATCAAATATTTATTGATTACTATGTGCTGGGTTTTAGGCACTGGGAATAGAGCCATGAACAAAACAAAAATTCCTGTTTTTGTGGGATTTTTATTCTAGTAGGGGAAGAAAGGCAAAAGGACATTAATAAGTAGAATATATAGTCAGTCAAGTGGTGGTAAGTCCTATGGAGAAAAAGTAGTAAGGGAAAGTAGGGAAGGCCAGGAGGAGGATGAGAAAAGTGGTATTGCAGTTTTAAGTAGGGGACATTTGAGCAAAGACTGACATGAAGTCAGGGATCTATCCCTGTGGATTCTGGAGTAAGAGCTTTCCAGGTAGAGGAACCAGCAAATGGAAAAAGCCCTCAGTCATCCCTAAAGTGTTACTGGGTGTTCTGGGACAGCAAGGAAGCTAGCTTAGCTGTAGTAGCATGAATGAGGGACAGAGTAATAACAGATGAGGTCAGAGAGTAATGGGCCAGATCTAATAGGGTTTTGTAGATCTTCATAAGCTGTTGTAGGAACTTTGATCTTTTACTCTGAGTAAGATAGTAAGTCATTAAAGATTTTCAGGCTGAGGAGGGACAGTATCTTAGGTTTTAAAACTCTGGTTCCAGGCCGGCTCGGTGGCGCACTGCTACAGTGCGCCGCCTGGGAAGCGTGGCAGCGCTCCCACCGAGGGTTCAGATCCCACATACAGACCGGCCTCTCACTGGCTGAGCGAGGTGCGGGAGCAACACCGAGGGTTGCAATCCCGTTGCCGGTCCCGGTCCGGTACGGGAGCGACACTGAGGGTTGCGATCCGTTGCCGGTCACGAAAAAAGACAAAAAGGGGAAAAAAATAAAAAAATAAAACTCTGGTTCCTGTGAGAAAAGTAGACATAGGCGTGCAGTGAGTAGTTAGGAAGTGGTCGCAGTAATTTAGGTGAGAGATTGCTGGCGACTTGAAGAAGAGCTCTTCAGTGGAAGTGGTAAGTAGTAGTAAAATTCTGGATAGATTTTAAAGATATAGGTGATGAATTGGATGTGTTTGTGTCCTAGTACTTGTATATTAATCTAAAATTCAGGTAAGAGTTCTGGGCCAGATAGAAATTTAGGAATTACTAGCTTATAGATGCTTTTAAAACCATGAAGATCCCCAAACTGGGGTTGGGTAGGTATATATAGAGAAGAGAAACAGTCCAAAGACTGAGCAGTGGGACAGTCCAGTTTTCTAGTTCTTCACAGTACAACACAGTAGTAGCCACTAGCCACATGTGGCTAGTGAGCCACTTGAAATGTGACTAGTCTCAGTTGATATGTGCTACAAGTGTAAACTCCACATCAGATTTTGAAGACTAAGTAGAAAAGAAAGTGAAATATCTCATTAATAATTTTTATATTATTTGTTGAAATTATAACATTTTGAATACATTAAACTAAATAAAATGTATTTATACTTGTTTTTAATATAGCTGTTAGAAAATTAAAAATCACATATATGGCTCACATTTGTGACTCACGTTATATTTTTGTTGGACAGCACTGTTCTAGCGTTTGCCAGATGAGGAAGAATCAGCAAAGGAGACTTTTAGGAAGGTACTATGAATTGAACATTTGAGAGCATTCTTAAGGGTAGGGAGTGTGTCTTTTTGTTTCGTTTTATTTTTTGTTTTTATTTCCCTAACATCTAACTCCAGTGCCTGGCACATAATAGATAAGAAGTTTGCATACTGGGCACTGAAAATGAATCAAATTCAGTGAAAAATAAATGAGAGTAATAGGGAAGTGAGAATACCATTTTTACTCATATTCTCACATTCCTTATCATTAGAGAGGAATTGAAAATCCTTCAGCAATAAATTCTTATTAGCATAATATATATACATATATACATATATATATACACTCACATGCTTGTATACACACACATACTATTCATGGTATATTGGATATATAGGGCAATTCAGTGTAGGAGAAAGAACTTAGTCTTAAGATCCGTGGAACTTATTACTGTTTCATCAGTGAAATAGAGTTGACTTTGGGCAAAACCTTTAATTTCTCAAGAGTTTTAGTTTCTTTATCTGCGAAATAAAAGATTGGAATTAGGTGAATTTTTATTACTCTTTGGAAACTGACTGTGTTTTGATTTTGTGTAGTTTGGTCTTATGAAGGGAAATTGCTCCATAAGTCTAACTTCAGTAGAGTTCCAGTCAAGATGGCGGAATAGACAGTCACTAGTGTCACTCTCTCCCACAAATCAACCAATTTACAACTATAAAAATGTAACAGCCAAGCTGGGGCTGCTGGAGCTCAGGGGAAGAGGAGGAGAGACCTACAGAGTTCATGAAGGGGGAGAAGCCATGATGAGAGAAAGAAAAAACTGATCAGAGCATTTCGGGCCATGGCCACTTTAAGGCTGGAACTGCTAGGCACATGGAGCAGGAGCCAGCCAAAGCCGCAACTGTGCCCTTCAGATGGAGTTGCTTGAAGGCGACAGGGGAGAAGAGGGCCTTGGTGGCCTCCAGGACAGCAAGACCACTAATAGGGTTCCCGTGGACCCACGCAGGAGCAAGGAGCCAGAACACCTGAAAAAAAGGAGCCATTCAGAGGCCAGTCAGTCATCACAAGGGACTGACACAGGGACCGTCCCATGGGAAGTGTTTGGAGCACGGGTGGTAGGGGAGATAGGCCCGCAGGGAGAATACTGGGACACAGCAAGGACAGCCAATCTGCTCCCCAATCAGCACAGGACCACTCAGAGGAGACTGTTTGGGAATGCAAAATTGAATGGGGTGCAGTTAGATAAAAAGATTCAGGCCCAGATCAGAGTTTCTACACAACCCAGGTGCACCCAGGCTCTGGAGAGCCGGAAGTACCTATAAAGTCAACCATTAAACCCTGAGCTGCACAAAAATTCTTCCCTAGGGAAACAGTAGTAAAGCAGCAATTTAGCTCAACAACACATCTCAAGTACTGGTTCCCATAGGAAGTTCCCCTGTTTTAGAAGTAAGCAAAGGACAAGAAATTAGTTCCAGCCCAGGCAACACCACCAGTGCCTCGGGGCCCAACAAGGGACCCGAGGCATGGATCTGGGGACCAGACCACCTGCCCACAACCCCATGGAGCCAGGGATCCCCCCCCCCCGCCCTCAATGAGGCATAGCGCCAGTGCCTCAGGGCCCTGCCTGGGGGCCCAGGGTATGGAGCCGGGTACCAGAATCCCTCCCCACAACCAGGCACACCACCAGTGCTTCAGGGCCCCACCTGGGGCCCAGGGCATGGAGCCAGGGACCGGACCCCCCCTACAACCAGGCACACCACCAACACCAAGGAGCATGCCAATAATATCACCTCCATGTGGATGGCCTACTACAGCCACCACAGTAACCACTGCTGCCACAAAAATGGCTAGACATCACAACTACCACTCAGATGGTCTGCCAGCCACTGGAGTGCATTGACCCGAGGAGAGTCACCAGTAGAGACCAAAGAAAAGAAGGGGATGTCTCTCTCCACAAAGCCCATTCCAGAGTGACAGAAGAAGCATCTACTCTATGATAATATTGGGGGACCTGAACACACCTTTCAGCATCAGACAGATCATCTAGGCAACAAATCAATAGAGTAACCATTACTCTTTCAGAGGGAGAGAAGAAATCCA